CTTCATAAAATGTGCTGCACACATCTGGATATTTGGGTTAAACTGTTCTGGAACAGTGTTGTAAATGCAACTTAACCACTGATTTGTAGTCGTGTCCTCTTTTGGAAGATCAAACAAAGTAGTTTCGCCTTCACAACGAAAAACACAGCAGCCTAGCGTGAGGGGAAGCCCCTGGCTTAGCGTGCGCTGAGGCCGGGCTAGAGTGAGCAGAGGCGGTGGATCCGACAAAGGAGCGGCAAGCACATGTGACGACCCCAGGCTTCGTCCATGGTGAAAGCCGATCCGGCGATCCACAGCGCGAAGTTGATGTATTCCCTCAGCGACCAGCACAGATCAGCTCTAGGCATGACGAAGCAGATATCATCCTCTTTTGGAAGGCCAAACAAAGTAGTTTCGCTTTCACAACGAAGCAAACAGCGTCTTCAGGACATGGCAACAATACTACAGCGAGAATAAAAGTTACGCCTTCTCTCTTTGTGTGAACATTTGGGCGGCGTTATGCAAATCTTCCCACATAGTGAGGTAGATATGTGGGGGTGTATTAGAACGAGCCATTTTGGGTAGGTGTGGCTGACTCTTAACTTTTATAAAGAATATCTCTTTGGATTTGAGACTTTAGTCTTTGCAACTTTACAGATCTTCTTTATGCACCAAGAGCTTGTAACACTCCAAAGAGAAAGGAGAAATTGAAATCACACCATATGACCCCTTTAAGAGAACCTCTGGCCAAATGTACAAATTGCTTTGCTTTTGTTTCAGAACATGAATCTGCACAAACTGTCCTCGCGACTGTGCCCAACAGTAAGTGTCATTCAACTGTCATTTATGGTTTTATATTTTATTTATTATTCTTAAAGTATATTTAAGTTAAGAACATTTAACAGGATATATCACTCAAAATCATTGTCATTATCAGGTAACACAGAAGTTCAGGCATCTCCACATCCAAAGCAGTGGCCAGCAGCTGGAGGCAGTTGCTGTGGAAACAGAATCAACTGAACCAAATCCGCTGTCAGTCTTCAGAACTTCAGAGCAGGATCCTGTACGTAGGGGTGTGCGATATTGACAAAAAATAATATCTCAATATTTTCTTGATTTTATCGATAACGATAATTAGATGATAATTATTTTGTTGAGTGTGTTATTGTGCTGGTATCTTAAGCACTACCGTGGACAGCTGACTCCTAAAGGTTTTTATTTTCTTCATATTCTGTGGTGGTCAGTTCACTCTGATAGAAATTATTCTTTTCCAATAAGTTTAAAGTGATTTTTACCTTTTATTGGCATTTTTACCTTTTATAAAGCCTTTTTTCTAGAAGTGTGCATTATCTTTTGAGTCAAATTCTTACATTGAATCAGTGAATTAGAATATTAAGACATTTGGGCTGTTACCAAGCAAATTAAATCAGTATCAATAAAATTCATCTTTGCAATGCAGAGAAAACACAGAAGCTGCATCTGAAGTGGCATTTAGATGTATTTACACATTACTGTTTAGTGCAGAACATGAATGCATTTAACCTGCAATTACAAATGCATAAACAATGTTTTGATATATTAAAGGCACAATATGTAAGTTTTCACCGCTAGAGGGCGCGTATTCAAAATAAACAAAGAGGCAAAGGCGTAGTTTGATGACGCCGTGACTGAGTGTGGAATCATGGGAGTTGTCGTCTTCATCCCCACAGCCGATGCAATCCGACGGGACAGTAGAATGAAGCAGGGTGAGGCTGAAAGCCATCGAAGTGAAACGAGGCCGCTGAACGAGCGTGACACACGGCTCGAAAGCAGCGGAGCTTTTATTATGCCACAGTCGACTGCTTCCGCTCCTTCCGGTCGTGCGTATGTGGGGGGGGAAAAAAAGCAGAGCTGTTTTATCATACTAGATACATTTGAAAGTTCTGTTATTATGCTACTCTGTGAGGTCGTCACCGGTCTATTAAAACGCACTACATATTAAAGCGTCTTTGGTGCTTCCATGTTTTCTACAAAACAAAACCGGAAATCGAGGGGTTATGACATCATTGGCAGGCGTCACAGTGACACTATAGACACGGTCCGTGTCACTAGTTAAAATAGCTTATTTCTCTGGATTTAAACATTCACTTAAACAATGATGTCTGGATTTTAAATGACAACATGACTGACAACAGTTTATCTAATAACATGTTCAAATATCTCATGTAAATGTTCAAATAAAGCTTTGAAAAAGTTTCATAAATTGTGAACCTCACATTTCAGCTTTTAAATAAAGAAAAGGGTCAAGTCAAAATGATAATTGATTAATAAATGATTATATGTATTTTATCTGCTCCATAAATAATACTAGATACCTTATTGTTTAAATGTGTAGAATCCACATAAGCTTATTTTTCATCAACCGGTCAAAATTTACAGCATTTTTTGGCCCAGACAGAAACTGCACACAGACTGAATGTAAATGTAACTCTCTGTAAATCCACTCTCTGACACTGCATGCTGATGAGCTTTTATCATAGTTTATAGTTATATGAAAACGAAAGTGGTTAACATTCAACCCTAGAGTTCCTCTTTTGCTATGTTATAAGCCGGGCTGCGGGTGCTTTCACTTTCGAAATTCGCAATCTTGGTGTCACGTTTAAAAAGAAAAGATAATTGTCTGATACACTCGAAGTGCTGCGCAGCTCAAACGAGTTGCGTGGTTTCGTTATGCTTTCAGTTTCGTTTGCAGTTTGATGTTTCTCATATGCAACAGAAATGCAGTGCTTATGAGTTAAACAATGCGGTGGTCACGCCAGTGCGACCGCACACAAAATGTAGTCGCACCGGCAGAAAAAAATGATCGCAAAATGCGGCCATTTGGTCGCACTCTGGAGCCCTGTGCAGTACAGTATTTATTTATCCTCAGTTGATCACGGTAATCGAATACGGTTATAGTGATAATTAAAATATGAAATGGTAATACTAACCGTGGGGTATTTCATCATGATTTATCGTCAAACCGGTAATTGTTACATCCCTAATCCTAAATGCATTTTCATTGAATCATGCAGTGACAGAACGCACTCTTAAATTCGCACGCGCACTAGTCTATACTTCACGTAATGTGTGCGTGCACTCTGTAGGGGTGTTTTGAATGGTTTTTGCAAAATACTCGATAATGTCAAATTGCACATCATTAAAACAACAATTAAGATATTATCGCAGATGATATATATCACACACCCCTACCTGTACGTCTAAAAAAAACAGAAACTGTAGTGTCTTATATAGACATTTATCAGTAGCTTTCAAATATACTTATGCATGAAGCTGACCTTAAAGGGATAAATCACCACTGGCAAGATGTTTTAAAAAAATTTTTTTTATAAATCTTGGTTTTCTATGCAGTATGACCACGAGAAAATCAGTGGTACATGACTAGAGAAAACAAACAAAAAAGGGGTCTGTGGGGTTCCCTTTTTCCAAAAAACGTGGGTGTTACATAATGCATTTATTTAACTTTGGCAACACCCTTCTGGGGAAGTTTGATCTGTAGTTTTAACAAAAGCCCATGAAGCATTAATATACATTTTGGACTGATATTTTAGCCATAAGCGACAGTTTTTGAGGGATTTGTTTCTTACAAACATGCAGCTTTTCACTGATGTAATGCTAAATTTCTCCAAATCTGCAATGAAGAAACAAATGCGTCTACATCTTGGATGCCCTGAGGTTGAGTACATTTTCAGAAAATTTGTATTTTTGGGTAAACTATTCCTTTAATATTATAATACAGATTTGAATCCCAGTGAGTTGTTTAGACATAGATATGTGGGGGCATGTTAGAACGAGCCGTTTTAGGTAGGCGGGGTTGACTCTTAACTTTTATAAAGAATATCTCTTTGGATTTGAGACTTTAGTTTTTGCAACTTTACAGATCTTCTTTATGCACCAAGAGCTTGTAACACTCCAAAGAGAAAGGAAAACTTGAAATCGCATCATATGACCCCTTTAAAGGGTTAGTTTATTCACCCCAAAATGAAAATCTGTCATCATATAGCCTACTCACCCTCATGAGTCATGTCACTGCAAAACCATAAGACTTATGTTCATCTTTTGCAGCACAAATTACTATATTTTTTCCTATCCATTGAAAGTCAACCAAACTTTTTAGCATCAAAAAGAACTGTTTAAAGAGTTTAAAAGTCCATATCCATATGAATGCAGCGGTTTAACCCAAGTCTTCTGAAGAGACACCATAGCTTTATGATAAACAATTTAATTTAGGCTTCACACGCTGATATAGTCACATAAATTGAGCTCATCAAATATTTTAAACACCTAGCTTTTTTTATACATGAAAGGATTGTGAGAAAAGGATCACAGTTTCAATAAAAAAATTTAGCAGCAAAAACAGTTTTCAACATTGGATAATAAGAAGCATTGCTTATAATTAAGCACCAATGACATATCAACTGAGTGCCAAATCAGCATATTAGAATGATTTCTGAAGGATCATGTTTCTGAAGGATCATGTGACACTGAAGACTGGAGTAAAATTCAGCATTGCCATCACATGAATAAATTACATTTAAATATATATTAAATTAGAAAACAGTTATTTTAAATTGTAATATTATTTCAAAATATTACTGTTTTTTACTTTTTTGATGCAGCCTTCGGGAGCATGAGACTTCTTTCACAAACATTAAAAAGCTTAATTATTCCAAACGTGTGACCACTAATGTACAGTATGTGTAATTTTTATTTAGGCATTGTATCAAAATTTTATAATTTGACATTTTGTCATTAGTCCTTTTGTGGAAAGTGGTCAAGAAAAGTAGAGAAAGAAGTAGTGATATTTCAGTTTTTCTTTTTTAATAAATCTGCAAAAATGTCAACAATTCTGTGTTTTTCTGTCAATATGGGGTGCTGTGTGTACATTAATGAGGAAAAAAATTAACTTAAATGATTTTTAGCAAATGGCTGCAATATAACAAAGAGTGAAAAATTTAAGGGGGTCTGAATACTTTCCGTACCCACTGTAATTATATATATTTAATATCCAGTCAAATCCCTGAATATGGAAGCATAAGAGTAGCAATATTCATTTTGAAATGTAATATGCAAAATGGCAATGCAATATATAAAATGGCAATGTTTTTCTGTATTTAAATGTATATTTTTCCATACATATGTGCAATGTTTAGTGCAAAATTAAAGTTTAATAATATATGGAGTCATATGGGTAGCAATATTAATTTTCAAATGTAATATGCAAAATGGCAATGTATTTCTGTATTTAAATGTATATCTTCCCATACAAATGTTCAATGTTTAGTGCGAAATGAAATGAAATTTAAAATGAAATTACAGGTGCATCTCAATAAATTAGAATGTCGTGGAAAAGTTCATTTATTTCAGTAATTCAACACACAATATGGAAGCATATGGGTGGCAATATTAATTTTGAAATGTAATATGCAAAATGGCAATGCAATATATAAAATGGCAATGTTTTTCTGTATGTAAATGTGTATTTTTCCATACATATGTGCCATGTTTAGTGCAAAATGAAAATTAAGTTTAATTTAAAATGTACAATTAAATTATATAATTAACATAATATGGAGTCATATGGGTAGCAATATTCATTTTCAAATGTAATATGCAAAATGGCAATGTATTTATGTTTTTCAATTTCTATTTTCCCATGCATATGTGCAATGATTAGTGCAAAATAAAAATGAATTATTTTACATTTTACATTATATAAATTTAAATACAGAAATACATTGCCATTTTACATATTACATTTCAAAATTAATATTGCTACCTATATGCTTTCATACCTGAACCCCTCTCTTTTTATCTCAGCTCTCAGAATCACTCTGAATCCCAGTCAGAAGTATCAGCGCATTAAAGGATTCGGTGGAGCCATGACAGATGCAGCAGCTATGAATATTCTGTCCCTGTCCTCCGGAGCTCAGGACCAGCTGCTCAGACAGTACTTCTCCCCAGATGGTGAGCGGGACAGAGATTTGGAAACAGAAAAGAAAATAGGTTCAGCAATCTTGAGTTCTGAATGGTGCACATCCCTGTCTGTCACAGGTATAGAGTACCGTTTCGTGAGAGTGCCGATGGCCAGTTGTGATTTCTCAACTCGCCTCTACACGTACGCTGACACTCCAGAAGACTACGATCTCCAGAACTTCACCCTGGCTGAAGAGGATATTCACATGAAGGTATCATACACAAACAAAAACACAACATCACACTTACAGGTGTGTGATATTAACCAAAAAAATTGTCTTGATATTTTGGAGAATTTTGTTGATAACAATAATTAGATAGTACTTAGCTGAGTGTGTTTTTGTGCTGGTTTAGGCCTGTTGTAGACAGTTGACTCCCAAAGCGTTTCATATTCTTTATATTCTGCACAGTGGTTAGTTCAGAACAATTAACTTTTAACTGACAGAAATTAACATTTCTATTAAGGGGTAATATCTGATTTTCAGGAGCATTTTTACCTTTATAAGGGCAATTTATCTTCTATGTCAAATTCTTTTGATTAATCAAATTCAATCAGTACTATAAGACTCTATGGTGTTTTAAAATATGATATAATTTAAAAAAATTATATTGATATGAAATTTTAATCGCTAATTGGAGGTGGCATGTCCCTGTATATCTTACGTCAGATTCTTACATTTAATCAATAAATTCAATCAGAATAATAAAACAATATAGAATAATAAAAAATATATAGTACAAAACTTTGGATATTGAAATATGAAATTATTAAAAAATATACTTTTATTTTTAAATATGAAGCTAAAACGGTCAATAAATGGCAGCAAGTCCTTGTCTTAATGAGTGATAATGGCTGATATATTCAGAAAAAAAAGCAAGTGACTTTTTTTTAATTAATAATCATTGAATCATTCACTCAATCAGTGCACAGATTCAAACAGCTGCTCCAGCTTTGTTTGGAACTATTTTCATTGGCATTCTAAGTGCATTCTAATAGGCTACACCACAGTCAAATGTGTAGACTCTCAAGATGCGATTTTGTTTTTGTTTTTTGCAAAGTGAGCAACATACTCAATATCTGCTGACACATTGTTAAAACAACAATAACAATATGTTTGTAGACAATACATTTCGCGCACCCCTAACCACAACACCACAGATGTCACATCCTGATTCATGTCATCTTTCTCTCCCAGATTCCCCTGCTGCAGCGGGCACAGGCTCTCTCTGCTCAGCCTCTCAATCTGTTTGCCAGTGCTTGGAGCGCCCCCGCCTGGCTGAAGACCAATGGTGCACTGATTGGCAAAGGCTCCCTCAAAGGCAAGCCAGGAGGCAAAGAGCATAAGACCTGGGCCCAGTACTACATTAGGTGCGTAAAGGAACCTAAAACTGTATTTAAATATCAATATCTTATCTACAACTAACTACAAAAGAAACACATTTCCAGCCTTTTTAACCTTTTAATAAGGCCTTTTACCTTTCCTATTCAGATTTCTAGAGGAATATGGGAAATATAATCTTTCTTTCTGGGGGTTGACATCAGGAAACGAGCCCACTGCAGGTGAAATGACAAATTACAGTTTTCAGGCTTTGGGTTTTACTCCGGAGACACAGCGCGACTGGATCGCCCTGGATCTGGGTCCAGGACTCCATTCCTCATCCTTTCCCCAGACCCGCCTCATGATCCTCGATGACAACCGACTTCTGCTTCCACACTGGGCCAAAGTGGTAAGTGAGGAGAGTGGACAAAAAGAAGGATGGGAGGATGATCATAAGGATGCGGGGTGGTGGCAAAACTCCATTCATCTCTGTCTCTCCACCTCTCTTCCCTGTTGTAGGTTCTGAGTGACGTACAAGCGGCACGTTACGTCCATGGGATTGGTTTTCACTGGTATCTGAACAACATTGCGCCACCTGGCATCACCCTGACAACAACGCATCACCTCTACCCAGAGTACTTCCTGTTTGCTACCGAAGCGTGTGCTGGGTGGAGTCCGCTGGATCGTGGGGTGCGTCTGGGCAGCTGGGACAGAGCAGAAAATTATGCACATGACATCATAGAGGTACACGGTGTATTTGATTATTTATTTATTCATTAAAAATTATTATTTACTCTATACAGTGGTGGCCAAAATTTTATATTTAAGCGGTTTCAGTTGTTTCTGCTAAATTGGCCATTACAATACCCATAAAATGAACTATTGCCGGAACTACCTGCGATGGAAGGAATCTGCTGGAACATTGAAAATGATGGACTGGCCCCCTCAAAGTCCGGACCTCAACCCCATCGAGCAAATTTGGGGCGAGTTGGAAAATAAACTGGACAGATCTATTGTACATTGAAAGGAAAGCCTTTGGCTTGAGTTGCAGAAGGCATGGGATAACATTAGTGTTGAAGTTCTCAGGAAATATACTGACACTATGTCAGAGACATGTGCTGCTGTAATTGCTGCAAAAGGTGGACATACCAAAATATTAAAGTTAAAAGTGAATAAAAACAGTACGACTCACTTCATCTGATATTTGTTGTTCTCAGAACAACCGTCTGCATGTTTCATGAACATTATGAAATTAAATCATGTTTTGGAGGCAAAAAAGGTCAATATTTCATATATATATATATATATATATCAGATCTCTCAGGTGTTCTAACAATTTTGGCCACCACTGTATAATAACTCTCTCTCTTCCTTCGGCTTGCTCCCTTTTTATCAGGGGTCGCCACAGCGGAGTGATCCGCACAACCGATTTGGCACATGTTTTACGCCGGATGCCCTTCCTGCCGCAACCCAGCACTGAGCATACCACCACTGTATAATAACAATATATGTAAATAAAATAAAATATTTAAGGGATAATGTACAGTATATCTAGCCAGTTGTTATTGTGGAACAGAACCCGACAAGGTGATCTTTTATCGCCCTGAAGGGATTTATTTTGCAATAACACCCAGGTGGATGTACATTATCCCACTTATTTCACGGCTACTTCCCACATAAGTAAATAATTGGACACAAAATATTCATTTGAGTTGAAATAAAACACAAAGCTTTCGTGAAGAAAACAATTCGTAGTAAGTGGCTTTTTGCCTACACAAATGAACAAGTTCAAACTAGACGAACATTTGAGGGATAAGGTACAGTCATACCACTTATTACACAGCTTCTCACCACATGGGGACAAGAGATATTGAGTTGTAACTTTTTTAAAGTCTTACCTGTTTATTATGTAATAGATGCAAGATGGAAGCAGCTGTGTTTAAATGAAACGAGAGAGTGAGTCTGTGATACCCGGATGAGCTGTATGTTATTCGGTGTTGCTATTGACAAAGGTTGTTATTGGGAAATAACACACCTCCAAATGTAGTAACAGACCAATCAAAATCAAGTACTCCAGAGCCGTGTAATAAATGTAAAAAAAAAATACTGCATAATAATGGTGTTGATTTTAAGGGTTTATATTCAGAAGGAAATATATATATTATATGTCTAATATATATATTATACATATCATATATATTATTGTTATCATTATTTAATAAAGGCTTACATGTGGAGTTTATTAATATTTAATGTTATTTATAAATATTTAAAATTATTAATTCATATTATACTTATTTAATATTTAATTATATATGTAAGCCTTTTCCCCCCTCATCTCTTTTGTTTCCTTTAGAACGGATTCTAAAATATATTTTGTAGAAAAATGTACAGGCAAAATTGTGTGGGGCCATTAATATACACTATATTTTTGTGCACTGCCACTAATATACAAAGTGGTTGCAATATAATGTATAGAAAATGTTTTATGTAATTATTTAAAAATGATTATATAATGTCCCTTCTCTTTATTTAGGACCTGAATGACTTTGTGACTGGCTGGACAGACTGGAACTTGGCCCTTAATCAGGATGGAGGGCCAAATTGGGTTAAGAACTTTGTGGACAGCCCTATTATTGTGGACTCAAGTAAAGACGTCTTCTACAAGCAGCCCACCTTCTACAGTATGGCCCACTTCAGGTAAAACCCATTCAAGGCACCGTTAACAGTGACAAGATTCAGCTCTTGGACAAAAATGGTTTCTAAAGATTAAATAAAGCTTTCACTAGCATACATGTTTACTGCTAAACAGCTATTTCTGTAATTTAATTGTAAACTACCTAGTTGACTTTTTTTCCATCATACTTGGGTTATTTCATAAATCTTAGTTATAGAATACAAATACAGCATTCTTCAATACAATATGTAGAACTGTGTCTTAGCTGAGCATTGAGTAACTTTTTGTACCTGACAGCAAGTTCCTGTGGGAGGGGTCACAGAGAGTGGGCGTGTCCTTCAGTCAGCACACCAGCCTGGAAATTTCTGCCTATATCAGATCTGATGCCTCAGCCGTGCTAATCATTCTCAACAGGTAAAAGAATGGGGTCATTTATGCTCAACTGGTGTTGTTGCATCATTTCAGGTGTATATAACATGTTATGAAATTGCAGGTCTGAAGAAGAGGTGCAGTTTGAAGTTTGGGATCAAACGCTGGGCTTCCTGCCAGGAAGTGCTCCACCTCACTCCATCCTCACACTACTGTGGAGCAGACGCTGAACGGTTGTACCAAACACCGCGTCAATAAGCCACATATGCACCTTAATGAGTAACTCAAACCATTTCAAATGACTGCAGCAACCACGATCACAAAGAAATCATTTCACTAGATTCAACGGTGGTTTATAATCTATCCATCTGGCTTGATAAGCTGTTTTGGTGCATTGGCAGCCAAATGATGATTTATGAGACAATTATCAATTTTAAAGGCAATAATGTGATTGAGTCATGTTTTAACAAGTAATGCTAGCATTCCTGGAAAAACTTGATGTATAAAATTCCTTGAAACACACGAAGAATTAAAAAGACGCAATAAACGCAACTTCTCACAGCCATCTCGTCTGAGAACGCATATTTATGTCAACAAAAATCAAATAGGAAGATCTGAATGCATTTGTTGTTCATCTGTATCATAAGATCAACATGTTGCCTTGTTTTTATTCAATTTTATTATTAATACATCATGGTCATACACATCATATAATATATATTTATATACTTTAATATTTAGCAATTCATCGTCATTTTCATCAATGTTTTTTTTTTGTCTTCCTTAAATGAGTTTGCCAACTAAAATTATTTACATTAGAAGAAACTGTAATAGAAATGAGAGTGAAAGGAACTAAATCAAATTAAACTGAATGACATTGATGGGTTTGTGATATATACACACCAGAGTTGGAATCAAAAAGGAGAGAGAGAGACTAAACTTCATGATCTCCTGTACAAAGGGGCAAAGACACGGCACCCCATCCCAATGAGAATTCACATTGAACGACAAGAGGCGGGGAGTACAGCCGAACACTGTACCATCTAAATGTGGGTTGGGGAGTTGTGCTGCTACAGCAACAATATGTGCCCGACCCTACCCTCATCCTGCACTGTTTGTTTGTTCACTCGGGGAAGGAAAAAGGGAAGGGTAAACTAGGCGAAAACTCTGGAGGAGATCAAAGACGTCTAAATGACACAGAAACATTAGGATAGACACAACTGAGAAGGACAGAGTTAGAGAACAGAAGTAAACAAACCATAGTAAAAATACACCAGCATGGTGGGATGAACACAAAGAATAGACAAAAAAAAAAGAAAAGCAGAGAGAGACAAATAAGCTTGGGTTAAGACAGAGAGCTCAGATGAGACAGGCGGACGTGTGTGCATGTGTTTCAGAAGGACCATCTCTCCGGTGTGCGAGGATCAGTGTTTAGGGAGGAAGGCTCTGATGAGGACCGAGTGCCGCTTTCATCCCCATTGAGGCTCTTCCTGCACACAGGACATGTGTCGTGCTTCAGGGAGGAAGAAGAGAGAAAGGTATGTCAGTGGCGATTCGTGACCTTGAAAATATAGTTCAAACTGAAACTGAACTTCACAAGTGACTAAAATCTGAGCACGATTTGATCTAAGCACAAAAATGCAAACTTTCCGGTTCTGAACAAAATAGTTACTTTTCACCCCTGACACAGTCTGCTGTGTTGATTTCAGTGAATTCATAAAGAATACATATGACTTTTTGGCTAAAACTATTTGTAAGGCTGCATAATTTCTACGTTTACTGCTTATAACATTCCTTTGCATCAGTCAACTTAATACAAAAGTAAATATTTTCCAGATAATGTTTAATTTGTCTTGGCTTCAGAACAATAATATATAAGCCAATTATTGAATTTAACAAACAACGCTGTCTTTAATATCACACTTACCAAAAAAGATTCAAAAGATTGAGGTAAGTAATTAAAAAAAGAAATACTTTTATTCAGTGAGAACAGAATAAAAACATTATAAATGTCTTTACCATTTCAAAGAAATACTGTTTTTTGTTTTTATTTTACGTTCTGTTTATCTAAGAATCCTGAAAAAATCACTTTCCACAAAAATATTAAGCAGCACAACTATTTTCAATGTTGATAAGAAAGGTTACTAGAGCAGCAACTCAGCATATTAGAATGATTTCTGAAGGAACATGTGACACTGAAGACTAGAGTAATGCATGCATAAGATTCAGTTTTGCAATCACAAGGAAATTTTTTTTTTTAAATGTACTAAAATTGTAAATTTAAATTGTAATATTTTTTCATAACATGACTGTTTTAGTATATTTTTGATCAAACAAATACAGCATTGGTCAGAGTTCTTTAAGACAAAAACAAATAATTAAAAACTCTTACCAACCCCAAACTTTTGAACAGTAGTCAATATCGAATACATTTGGAAAATACACAGCTGCCTATTTTTTATTTAGCACAGTGGCTAGATTAACAAATAACCAGACGCCACCCGATCTAAATATTCCCGCACAGTTTAATAGTAATGACTTTATGAATTTCTTCACTGATAAAATAGATAACATCAGAAATACAATAACAAATGTAGATTCTACAGCGTATAATACTTAAACCATTTCAAATGACTGCAGCAACCACGATCACAAAGAAATCATTTCACTAGATTCAACGGTGGTTTATAATCTATCCATCTGGCTTGATAAGCTGTTTTGGTGCATTGGCAGCCAAATGATGATTTATGAGACAATTATCAATTTTAAAGGCAATAATGTGATTGAGTCATGTTTTAACAAGTAATGCTAGCATTCCTGGAAAAACTTGATGTATAAAATTCCTTGAAACACACGAAGAATTAAAAAGACGCAATAAACGCAACTTCTCACAGCCATCTCGTCTGAGAACGCATATTTATGTCAACAAAAATCAAATAGGAAGATCTGAATGCATTTGTTGTTCATCTGTATCATAAGATCAACATGTTGCCTTGTTTTTATTCAATTTTATTATTAATACATCATGGTCATACACATCATATAATATATATTTATATACTTTAATATTTAGCAATTCATCGTCATTTTCATCAATGTTTTTTTTTTGTCTTCCTTAAATGAGTTTGCCAACTAAAATTATTTACATTAGAAGAAACTGTAATAGAAATGAGAGTGAAAGGAACTAAATCAAATTAAACTGAATGACATTGATGGGTTTGTGATATATACACACCAGAGTTGGAATCAAAAAGGAGAGAGAGAGACTAAACTTCATGATCTCCTGTACAAAGGGGCAAAGACACGGCACCCCATCCCAATGAGAATTCACATTGAACGACAAGAGGCGGGGAGTACAGCCGAACACTGTACCATCTAAATGTGGGTTGGGGAGTTGTGCTGCTACAGCAACAATATGTGCCCGACCCTACCCTCATCCTGCACTGTTTGTTTGTTCACTCGGGGAAGGAAAAAGGGAAGGGTAAACTAGGCGAAAACTCTGGAGGAGATCAAAGACGTCTAAATGACACAGAAACATTAGGATAGACACAACTGAGAAGGACAGAGTTAGAGAACAGAAGTAAACAAACCATAGTAAAAATACACCAGCATGGTGGGATGAACACAAAGAATAGACAAAAAAAAAAGAAAAGCAGAGAGAGACAAATAAGCTTGGGTTAAGACAGAGAGCTCAGATGAGACAGGCGGACGTGTGTGCATGTGTTTCAGAAGGACCATCTCTCCGGTGTGCGAGGATCAGTGTTTAGGGAGGAAGGCTCTGATGAGGACCGAGTGCCGCTTTCATCCCCATTGAGGCTCTTCCTGCACACAGGACATGTGTCGTGCTTCAGGGAGGAAGAAGAGAGAAAGGTATGTCAGTGGCGATTCGTGACCTTGAAAATATAGTTCAAACTGAAACTGAACTTCACAAGTGACTAAAATCTGAGCACGATTTGATCTAAGCACAAAAATGCAAACTTTCCGGTTCTGAACAAAATAGTTACTTTTCACCCCTGACACAGTCTGCTGTGTTGATTTCAGTGAATTCATAAAGAATACATATGACTTTTTGGCTAAAACTATTTGTAAGGCTGCATAATTTCTACGTTTACTGCTTATAACATTCCTTTGCATCAGTCAACTTAATACAAAAGTAAATATTTTCCAGATAATGTTTAATTTGTCTTGGCTTCAGAACAATAATATATAAGCCAATTATTGAATTTAACAAACAACGCTGTCTTTAATATCACACTTACCAAAAAAGATTCAAAAGATTGAGGTAAGTAATTAAAAAAAGAAATACTTTTATTCAGTGAGAACAGAATAAAAACATTATAAATGTCTTTACCATTTCAAAGAAATACTGTTTTTTGTTTTTATTTTACGTTCTGTTTATCTAAGAATCCTGAAAAAATCACTTTCCACAAAAATATTAAGCAGCACAACTATTTTCAATGTTGATAAGAAAGGTTACTAGAGCAGCAACTCAGCATATTAGAATGATTTCTGAAGGAACATGTGACACTGAAGACTAGAGTAATGCATGCATAAGATTCAGTTTTGCAATCACAAGGAAATTTTTTTTTTTAAATGTACTAAAATTGTAAATTTAAATTGTAATATTTTTTCATAACATGACTGTTTTAGTATATTTTTGATCAAACAAATACAGCATTGGTCAGAGTTCTTTAAGACAAAAACAAATAATTAAAAACTCTTACCAACCCCAAACTTTTGAACAGTAGTCAATATCGAATACATTTGGAAAATACACAGCTGCCTATTTTTTATTTAGCACAGTGGCTAGATTAACAAATAACCAGACGCCACCCGATCTAAATATTCCCGCACAGTTTAATAGTAATGACTTTATGAATTTCTTCACTGATAAAATAGATAACATCAGAAATACAATAACAAATGTAGATTCTACAGCGTATAATACTTTAGCTTCATTCATCGCACCAAAAGATAAACTGCAGTGCTTTACAACTATAGGACAAGAAGAGGTAAATAAACTTATCAGGAAGATCAAGTGAATCATCCTTTTTGGCATTTTTTCCCCTTCTTTTTCTTGGTCACATTTTGTTAATTCCATCTGTGCAAATCACTTGGATATTGCGGAGTCAATAAAACGTGTGTTTAGAGAAGAAAAAAAAAAAACTAAAAATATTCCAGATGTTTTTACACTTATTTTGAGCTGCAACTCCAACCCCTTAATTACATTTATCAGATGTTTATACACAAATAAAATAAAATGCTTTCAGAATATATTTCTGTAATATATTTCTATTACCGTTCATCATTTTTCCGTACTTCAAAAGATTCTTATATCTAAATGTTTTTCCTATGTCTTTTCCCCATTCTCTCCCTTTAGTCTGGCTCCTTCCTCCCTATTGTTTCTCTCACCAGTTCAAGCCAGGGCACAATGCAGTCACTATGGAAGATGTGGTTACAGGGCAGCTGCCTGACCGCCTCACCGACCGTGTAGTCTTCCTTACATACAGGGCACTCCATATTGCAGTCTAGGAAAAGCAAGGAGAGAGAGAGAGACAGCGTGCAGGGGGTGAGAATAATGAGATTTCAGTAGACGAGCGCTGCCTCAAATAGGAATTAGAATTCATCACCACACAAGACTCGTACTGGTAGGTCAATGACCCCCACTGAGTCTGAAAGCCTTAAATCATAACTGAAATGGCACACTGTGCCTCTGACAGACCAGAAGAAAACAACAACAAGAGCTTCAAAGAAAAGGGAAGAGAGAGGAGAGACTAACCAGTGTGTTCCTGAGTGATGATAACAGTGGGGAGGGAGGAAATTTTATCTTTCTCAGCAGGAGGAGGACCCGTGTTCTCAAACTGACCCAATAACTGTGTGAGAGAAAGACTCAGATGATCAGCTTGTTTGCACAGAGCCTCAGATCAGGTAACGTGCACACACACAACCCCTGCTCAGCTACCTGTGTGATGACTGCATCCAGACCCCCCTGTCCCCAGGCGTAGTCCCCAGGGTTTGAGTGCAGCATGCCCGTCCTAACACACACACAAAAACACCAAGATGACCAGTATTTATGTTATTATGTATTTATGTTTTAATGCCATATCAGTAACAATGGCTATCATTTCAATACACCATTTACAATAATATAACCTTTTCTTAAAGGGGTCATGAATCTTGTGAATCATGATCTTTTGACATATAAGAGGTCATTGTACCATAAAAACATCCTGTAAGTCAGAACTCAAAACTTTGTCGTTAGTCTAAAAACAGCAGTCTGTCAAAACTACAGTTTTTTGGAATGTTCTACTCTATGATGTAATAGTGTGGATAAGAGCCGCCTCTGCAGACGAAGATTGACATCACTGTCTGTTTAGCCCCACCCACCGATTCTGTGAGAGGTTTTGAAATTGAGGTTCCTGTGAGATTTTATTTAGGGCGTTATACCACAAACAGCCACCGGGTGCCATCCAAACTCCATTGAATTTTTTTAATCTATTTTTCTGTCACAAATGTCTAGATTTCTCTGTCAATATTACTTCTATCTCAAAATAACCACCAAATATGGAATCCTGAGACTCAGACCTTTCCAATTATATGTTTTCTAATCAAGATTATAAAAAGTTTTGATTCTTCATTTTGTAATATGACACTCGACACCGCCCACTAAGGGGGAGGAGACCGCCAAAATAATTTTAAAGTACCATTTCCATGGTAACACAATGTCCGATTTCAAAATGGTTTCCACAGGACGAATCTTGGGCTTCTAAGCTTTCAAATGTTACATGATTTATGATGATTACTAAAAGATTTGATAGAGAAAAAAGACAACAAAAAAAGAGCGCCAAACGTCCCACAGGTGGGACGGTGACAGTTAAGGGGTTAAATTACTTTTTTCCATATCAATCTACACTACATACACCATATCGACAAAGCAAAAACAGAATCGTCACATACCTTGTAAATGTATTAAAAAATAAAAAAAACTGAAATAAGTACATTGCGTAAGTATTCATACCCTTAACTAAATATTTAGCTGAAGCACCTTTACAGCCTCAAGTCTTTTTTTGTTTGATGCGACAAGCTTTGATCATCAGCATTTGGCAATTATCTGCTATTCTTCTCCTCACCTGTTCACCTCTCAAGCTCTGTCAGGTTGGATGGGGGCAGATGCACATTTTCAGATTTCTCCAGAAATATTTGACTGGGTTCAAGCTTATGTTCTGGCTGGGCCCACTCAAGGACATTCACAGAGTTGTCTATAAGCCACTCTTGCTGTGTACTTAGATTCATTGTCCTGTTGGAAGATGAACCTTCTGCCCAGTCTGAGGTTCTAGATGCTCTGGACAAGGTTTTCATTAAGGCTCTCTCAATATTTTGGTGCATTGAGTTTTTCTTCTACTCTGATGAGTCCCTCAGTCCCTGCTGCTGAAAAACAGCCCCACAGCATGAGGCTGCTAACAGAACACTTTACTTTTGGGATGGTACTCTGCAGGTGATGAGCAGAGCTGGTTTCCTTCAAACATGATGTTTGGAATTGAGGTTCATTAGACCAGAGAATATTGTTTCTCACAGTCTGAAGGTCCTTTAGGTGCTTTTTTGCTAATTCCAAGTGTGTTTTCATGTGTCTTCACTGAAGAGAGGATTGAGTTTGGCCACACCGCCATAAAGCCCAGATCGGTGGAGTGTTGCAGTGGTGTTTGTCCTTATGTAGATTTCTCCTATCTCCACATATGATCATGGAGCTCAACTAGAGTGACCATCAGGTTATTGTTCACCATGCTAACCAAAGCCCTTCTCCATCAATTGCTCAGTTTGGCCAGGAGGCCAGCTCTAGGAAGAGTCCAGCTTTTTTCAAACTTCTTTAATTAAGGGTAACAGATACTACATGTTTCTGTGAACCTTCAATGAGGCAGAATTTTTTTCTGAACTCTTCCCCAGACATGTGGCTTGATGCAAACCTGTTTCTGAGATCTATGGGCATTTCTTTTGACCTCATGGCTTGGTTTTTGCTCTGATATGCATTATCAGCTGTTAAGACCTTTTATTAAGACGTGTGTACCTTTCCAAATCATACCCATTCAATTGAATTTGCCACAGGATAACTTCACTCAAAGTGTAGTAACATCTACAATCAATATGAATGCTCCTGAGCTAAATTTCAACTGTCCCATTGACTCCCATATAAAGGTATGAATACTTATGCAATGGAATCATTTAAGTTTTTTTATTTTTAATAAATTTGCAAATATGTTAAAAAACTGTTTTTTGCTTTACCATTATGGTGTATGGAGTGTAGATTGATGTGGAAAAAAAACAAGGCAGCAACATAAAACGTGAAAAAAATGAAGGGGTATGAATACTTCCGCAAGGCACTGTATATATCTATATCTATCTATCTATCTATATATATATATATATATATATATATATTAGTGCTGTCAAATGATCCAAAATAAAAGTGTTTGTTTACATTATATATGTATGTGTAATGTGTAAAGTAATTATATATAAAAAAACGATGTTAAGTAGTAACGTAGTAGTAAGAGTTGTTGTATGACATAATTCAGTGAAGCTTAACAACTCAATTAGGCTACCTCATATATTTAAATTAAAAGACCACTACAAGTGTCATCTAGAAGACATCGGTCATTCTCATATTTTCTTTAATTAAAAAAAGAACCAAACATAAAATAAATACATTTATCTATCTATATATACTGACTGCCCAAATTACATAGTTGCAAAATACTGAGTAAAATGTTTTCTTTACCATGACAGTGGAGGAGAGCCTGGTACTCCTGAATTGGCAAAAAGGCCTGCGAGAAACTGCTGTACTATTCTAGAAGGAGAGAGGAGACATCAGTGAGGAACTGATATTGGTGTGGGGGGAAATTCTGCCAACTTCCTTCATTTTTTTTTATTGACATTTCATGAGCTGTTTAAATCAGTCATCTGACCCACATGCAGTACATATAAATATTGCCTTCAAAAACTTCCAAGCCTACAGATTTTGTTCTCAACATTTTTTTGTGGAACAAAGCTGTTTTACACATACTAGTTGAGAAGAACAGTCTCTTTCATGTTACTAAGCTGGGACATAAACCTTTCTACATAAGAAGTTTACTACCTATTGTAATACTATGGCAGAACTAAAGTTATGGGATTATTTCTTACAATTTTTTAACCTTTATTTGCTATTTATTATGCCTATATTCAGTTTGTTAAGTTTACTGCATTGTTTTTTAAGAAATCTAAATGTCCTGCCATTCAAAAATATACAATAGCATATGCCCTATTCAAACCAACTTTGATATTTAAAAAAAAAAAAAAGATGCATCCTTTATTTTTATTACTATCATTATTATTATTATTTAACACGAGGATACCTATTATTTATAGGTTATTATTTTTACCTAGTGTTTTTTCCTAAGGGTCATGATTTAGTTTATATTTAATTATTACATCACTGTACCTTGTATTATAACATCCTTGCATTAAAATGCAGCCATGTAAAACAACTTATAATATGTGCATGTGCATATATACACCAAGCAGAGTTTGATTGATGAAACTCTGTACTTTCCTTGCAAACACATTGATTCTATATTCCTTAAAATGCATCACAACAGCTTGATTAATCTGCAAACTGTCACTTTGCTGAGACAATTTGCTCTTTATTAAGCATACCAAATATTCGTGTTGGTCTCGCATTTGGTGTGAACAGGTCTTCAGCAGAGATTCAGTTAAAATTCAAAAACGAAACTACGACAAATGAAAGGGCAATCTCAGAGAAAAGAGAATGAAAACAAATCCACTGATTTGGGATACAGAACAACCAAATGAAAAGCTGAGATATTTAACTTACCCCTCAACAGCGGGAGAGCGATCCGGTCGACTGCTTCCTCTGGATCGGTACCTCCTCTGCGTGTGCAGGCGTGGAGGACGACCAGGACCCCAGTGCTCTCCTCCGCCTAGAGGGCCGCTCAGGGACCCACCAAGCCCACCTGGGACAGAACCGCCGAATGGCCCTGTTCCGAGACTCCCAGACCCACTGCCCCCTCCCGGGACTCGCTCAGAGTCAGGACTGTCTAGATCCAGACTGAACGGCCTCTCCACGAACAACAGCTGCCATAGCTACAGTGAAATAGTGCAAGATGAGTAGTGCAATCTACCTCACTCTAACTTATTCAAAAACTCCTTATCAACAACAGCTACACAATCTCTATCTGACAGGAAAGATGTTGTGGAAAGAAGGGGTCAACATACCTCAGCAAACTGTGAAGCTGTGTCATCAAGGCTATTTGAACTACTGTCCAGAAGACTAAGGATGAAACAATCACATTCATGTCAGATCTGGCTACATACTGCCGTTTCATGGAACTTGGCAACATACACTGCAGTACAGCTGACTGTCACAGTGAGGGAGTCATCGATCTAAACCAGCGCTTCTCAATCCAGAACTGCACAATTTGGATCTCTCACTCATTTAAAGGCTAAGACAGCTGCTTCGCTGCCCATGGTGCCCAGACAATGACTTCACAGAAGCATTTTAGTGATAAGGCACCACCTAAGAAAACTGGTTACGTCTGTTTTCATGTGAGCTTTAGTCATAACCAAGCAAATATTTAATGACTGCAGTGTTTATTGTTCGTTAGGAATGGTGACGTGTTAAAAGAATTCAAAAAATGTCATTCATTCATTCATTTTTGTTTTTTAATGTATACCATATTCATCAGCTGAACTACACAAGCAGAATGGTGGGATACCACAGGCATCTATGCTGCCTTCAAAAGATGACCAACACTTCCCTACTACATAGTATGCAAAATGGAGTATATAACATGTAAAACATAAGTGAACATTACCCAAATAACTGACTGCATCAGCTGAGATTGCATTCAACCAGTGGACACTTTGCTATCCTACAATGCCAAAGCAGCTGAGGAGTCGTTAGATTTGAAAAGTTGAGAGAGCTGTGAGTTGAGCAACTCTTTTCTAGTGTAAGTAGGTCAATGACAAATAAGAGTGTCCAAGATAAAGAAATAAAACAGTTTTTAAAATCTCGTTTTAACGTGTGCAAAGCTGTTAGAAGTGAACTCATTTTTATTTTTGAAAAACTTTTATACAAATTTCAAGAAACGTTTCATGACACTAAATTAAACTTAGTGTCATGAACTAAGTTTTAATGACACTAAAATGTCTTATGTTGTAACCATCAAGAGAAAGGTAGTAAAAATTTAAATGCCCACATCTTATATTTTATTTTAAGCAAATATTATGAATTATTAATTCCAATAATGTATTTAGCTTATTACATAAGCTTTTCGGAGGGTTGCACCACATTCCACAACTTGAACTAACCTTGCTGTATCACCATGATCAAATTATCATATATTTTAAGAGACATTTTCAACCTTGACCCACAGTCATTAGTCTGCAAGGTATATAATATCATTTCTGTTTTGTTTTTTTCCCCCTGAAAATATTTCTGCACATCAGTTCTGCCACATGACTTTCAAGCAAAAAAATGTAATTAACAAAACTTAACCACTGTTTTTTTCTAGCAAATATAAAAAGATCATGCGAACTACTTAATGTTTTTTTTTTTCAAATCACTATGTATAAATTCCATTTTTTATGTATTTCAAATAAATGAATATATCTGCAAAAAGCATTTCACAAACCACAATGTCATCAACAAGTTATTTTAAATTACTTGTTCAATACCACTCAAGTAACTTATTTTCAAGGTTATTGCTTGTACATCATAAGCAAAAGAATAAATTTGTTACCAACCTATTCTAACTTATAAGTTATATGTAAAAAAAAAAAAAAAAATCATACCTTGACAAAGGCTACTTGTTTGGCGAAATGTTAGTAACAAATAAAGCCCCGTTCAGACTACACGATTTTAACCCGATTTTGCCACGATCTGCTTGACGTAGGGTGTCGTGGGGAATCGTATACGACAATGGACGTCGGGACACACGATTCAATCGTTTCATCTCGTGTAGAGTGCACCTCTGCGATGCTTCATGACGTCAACACAGAAAGACTAGCATGTTTAATTTTTGTTTCCGTCGTACACGACAAGTTCCATCACAGCTATGACACTGGCCAATAGGAGCACAGAAGTGCCTTTGTACAAGCTTTCAAACATGCCGAAACGAAAGGGAGACATGGTATCATGGTGTAATGGAGTCCATACTATCCTCTTCATGCCATCCAGATTTGTGTCCATTGTCAGGTTTTTCTTTCTTTTTTGGGCTTTTCTGACAAGACAGGGCAAAACACGCTGTTTGCTAGCCATTGTTTGTTTACGCTCATAGTCATAGCACCTTCTGTCTTGTCTCGCGCTATTGATGACAGCATGCACGTTGTTAATGACGGCATGCGATGAATGGTTGGGTAGCATCGTATAGTCGGACATGTTTCTTGTTCACGACACTACAAGATTTTATGAGTCAAAATCTCATAATCTGACAGTGACTGTCGTAACTGACAAAAAAATGGTGTAGTCTGAACCAGTGCTTAAGAGAGTGTGCAGTTATATTTTTGTTCATTTAGTCTGCTCCTTTAACTTGCACCTAAAAAAATGTGTGCATTTGTTTTACTTCTTTAATGTTCAGCAATGTATTCACAGCATTCAAAAGTTCTTCAATCAACAGTCGAGAGGTTCTTCAAGTACTTTCACAGTATGCACTGAATATAATGATTTAGTCTACAAAAAGGACCTAATCTTATAAATAAAAGAGAAGACATCCACAATGTGCAGTACGCTGGAAATATAAGACCAGGATTGGGAACCACTAATCTAAACCCTTTCCCAAATAAATTCCAATATGACCCAAACTAAACTGAGCTGGAATTAAACAGAATTCAATTGAATCCTTCATGTTCCTCTGGTAGAATGGTGGCATAAACTATGAATGATCTTCAACTCTGCTTAATTTATCAATATTAAAAAATTACATCACAGCTCTGTGTTCACATCTTTTACTTTTCATGCCCATTTGGTGGTGCTACAAATCCAGGTGACACAATCGACTTCTTTACATACTCCAAAAGGTACTGTAAGAGCTGCCATAGTAATCTAGCAGTGCAGGAGTTGCAACATGCCACTGGAGGCATGAATGAGGAAGTGCAGCCATTGAAAAGCTCACCTGGAGTCTTCTGTAACCTCCTCGATGAAGCCCGAGTCACATCTGGGACAGATATACTCCTGAACACAAGCAAAATCACAATTAGAATACAATGTCGGAAAATCACATTGTTGACATCAACAATGTAAACAAACAAAACGGTGTTTTTTTGTGAGGACACACACATTTGCATAGCACTACAATACACACTCATTTGAATGTGAAAACAAATAGTCCCGTACAAGGAGAGACACTCCCTGTAATGTGTGTCATGACTATTGCTGGCTGATTCAAGAGGCTGCTTCCCTATTTTTTTCTCTGACTCGAACAGGTCAAGACAGGTCATCCTATGGGTCTCCAAAAAAAGTAGGACAATGGCTGCTTATCTTGACATGCAGCACAACTCGGGACACTATTTTGCCTTATTCACAGTTTCACACTATATTCACTAACCATATACACTACCTTCTGTATACAGACGTTTACTAAGTTAAATGGGTAGTAAACACACAACTCATCCTCACCAGGACAGCTCATGATGAATTGGCTTACTGACACACAGACCAACAAGTGCTTAAATTAAACAGTCATTGACAGATTTGCGACGCACGTCAAATGTCATGTTACAAATAAGTGAAACAGAAATATTTGGTATTCCGGTTTCGCTTTTGAAGAGAGTTCAGGATTGATCCCATTTAAAGACGTTTTTGAACATCTCTAAACGGTAACAGCATGAACCGAGCGCTTATTAAAGCCAAACATTTCCTAAAATGTGAAAAAGTCACTATTTGTACAGTAAGATAGTACGAAAGCATAACAAAAACACTAGATTTGAGTGTAGCATTTGTGCTAAAGATAAAATACGTCCGTTTTCTCCGTTTTTTAGTAGCAGTCTTACGTTTAAAAATACCGGTCACTGATAAATACGTTTGTTTTTAGTGTGTATATACAAACAACAAGGCACGACAGGCCTTTCGCCCACATCAGGTTGATACACTGCTACCATGCTAACTTTAGCACAACAGCGAGACCTGCGAGAGCGACAGCGGCAGTGCACAAACCGACTAAGATGAACCGGCTGTGCGTTACAAGCGACGCGGACTCACCGGCAGTTTGGGGCTCACTTCACCCTTACAACAGTGACAGAAGAAGCGATGCGGAGGGACCGCCGCAGCCTCCGCCATGTTTTTCGTGAGACTGTCTGTTCCCCAAACAGCAGCAGCGCTGGCCGTCGGTCCGCCCACTGTCCGATTCAATGTAGCGAGTCGATTCACTCGGACGGTTCGTTCAATGAACCGGTCGAAGCAATGCACTGATTCAAGTTTATTTGTTACACATCCTTGCAGCGGCAGTGAAATGTGCTTTTTACAAGCCTGTAAAAAGTAAAGTTAAAATAAAGGGAGTGATTAATTTACAATAATAGTACATTATTCATTCAAATAATCCATAATACACTGATGTTCATTATTATGTTTGTTTCATTCATCTAATTGTTTTACTTTAAAAACATAGTTCATGTAGTCGAGTGATTCACAATCGGCTCTTCTGAATCATTAAAAGAATCAGTTCATTGCAACGATTCGTTCGCTGATCAGGCATCACACTGGAGCTCCACATGACCACGGAAATTCGTCAGTGCTGATCTTTACACACCGCCTGAACTATGGCAAGCCGTTTTTAAGACGTCTATTCTCGATATCAACAATTTAATTCTCAAATCAACTATTTAACTGCCACTAGTGACGATGTTAATTTCTGATATCATGAATGTGATTGTTACTAGTAAGAAAGCCATTTTAGATATCAGAAATTATATTGATATCACAAATATATTTTTAGATATCAAAAATAACAAATCTAACATGTTGAAATTCATTTACCGATATCAAGAATTAACATTTCAACTAGTAACAACTGAATTCTTGATATCAAGAATTCACATTTTTACTAGTAACAAAGTAATTATTGATATCAACAAAGGCAGTTGATATCTGAAATTTCCCTTGCAACTAGTGAAAATTTAATTACTGATATCTTAAATAACATTTTAACTAGTAAAAATACTTTTACAGATATGTAGAAATGCCATTTTTACAGGTAAGAATAGCTATGGTAATGAGATCATGAATATTAATGAGATCTGGTTTTCCCACAATCCTCGTTTTAGCGTCAGCATTGGCCAAAGATGGCGGAAGAACATCCATGTGCAAAAACGGCTCCTCCTTTATTTATTTGTTTTGTCAATGAAACATGAAAATTATATTATGGCTGGATTAATTTTATTTTTTTTGGTAAATTTTTTGTTAATTGTTCATTTTTTGTTAAAGTAATTGTATGCTGTTTCTATTTACTGGCCATCAAGTCCTTCGGATAATTAAAGGAAAAATGAACAAGGCATTAATTTAGCTTTAACATAAAAAATTAATTCATGTCGTTTTTTCATGTGTTTATTTTTAGTTTTATTACACTTTCTTCTAATACATCAAATAAAAAATACAACCAAAAGGAAAAATATAACAGACAATAATGCGTCATACAAAGTTTGAACGTTTTACTGGACTTTTTTTTGTAATATCGTTGTATTTAGGCTACATGAATAAGTCGTGTCCTAACAGGCATTATTTTTATATAACATGTTGTCCAGTTCTTGAAGTATCGGTGGACAACATGAATGATAAAGTCTATTGAACCACTTTCTCATGTCTGTCTCAGCCATTTCAATGTTAGGCTACGTTAAATATGGCACTGCACTAATACACTATTCTGAAAGTTAAGACATGAATAACAGTCTCTCAATTGTAGTTAGTTCGGAGAATGGACAACGATTTAATAAGAATTGTGTAATCTTGCCCATCTGGTTCATTTCTTATTGTTATTATTATTATTATTATTAGGCTATTTTATATGATTATTATTATTATAATTATTATTATGCTATTTTATTAGGCTATATTGTTGTTGTTTCAATTTTGTAACTATAAATGTGTTTACTTAAGACCTCACAACAATTGTATCATTAAATAATTAATAAATATGTTTTCTGTTTTGGAAATGTGCTTGTCTCTACTATCCCTTTCAACATTTTGCCAAAACAACACAAAATAAAACGGAATATAGACTATATGTTATCTCAAAAGAGATAAATAAAATGGTGTCTTCATTTTAAATGTAGGGGCGGTTCTAGGGTTTCATCCTCAGGGGGGCTTAGCCCTCAGAGAGA